GAATGATGTTGCATCGATATTTGCATAAACAAAAACCAAAAACCCGATGTGAAAGGAACAGGGTGGCCTTGGGGTGGGGTTTTAGCTTTCGCGCGACGCGCCGTGGACGACCCCCTTGGGTCGAGGCGCGGCGCTTCAGTTGGCAAGCCCCTAAACCCTAAAACCCTCAACCCTAAAACCCTTGAACCCTAAACCCTAAAACCCTAAACCCTTACACCCTCAACCCTAAACCCCTAAACCCCTAAACCCTAAACCCTAAACCCTTAAGCCTTAAACCCTAAAACCCTCAACCCGTAAACCCTTAATCCCTAAACCCTCAACCCCTTGCAGCGCTTGAAACGGCTGGATCTGAGCTCGAATCTCTGCCGGAGCCTCCCGGAGATCTCTCCTCCAGTCTCTCAAAAGGCTGAAGGTAGGGCCGCTCTTTGAGTACGCCTTTGGGGGCTTCGGGTTTAGGGGTTTTGCTTTTAGGGTTTAGGACGTTTAGGGGTTTAGGGTTTTGGGTTGTAAGTTTTACTCAAAGGTAGGCATTGGTTACGGGTTTAAGAAGGAACCAGAGCCCTCGGTTTCAAAAATGCGTCCAAGACCCGCCCCGGAAGAGCATCTCAACTCCAACCATCTCGAGAAGCTGACGGCCGTGAAATGCTTCACCTGAAAAAAGGAACTCAAGGGGTGTAGGGATTTAGGGTATCGGGTTTAGGCTCATACCTTCACTCATTGGTTACCATAGTCATCCTTGAACCATGTGGACCACTTTCAAACAGTTCACGTTGGCTCAAGAAGCCTGATCCTGTCATCGGCATGCACGGCACAAGTAGATTTCCACAAGCAGCTTGCGACTCAAACAGTACCAACAACACTAGTCCGAAGGAAGAACCGACTCAGTGCAGGCTCCCCGAGGTGGTTGCATGTTGGTGAAAATGCAATGCGTGGGCACGGCGCCATCTTTTCGGCACCTGCACACGCCGCTTAATAAGAAAGTTATTTTCTGCAGTTTGGCGGCTTTCGTTGCTGACATGTCATGGTGTTGGCACTACGGATGCACTTGGGTTTTCCTGATTCACAATTCAGTGTCTCATTGGGCATTGCTCAGGCCCCGAGGACATGTTCCTTCGAGCGAACGGGATATTGCGGCATGCGGCAGACAGGTGCAGAGCTGGGATGAGCTGGGGACACTACGCAGGATTCATAGCACATGTTGCCTCAAGCTTTAAGCCCTACATCCTACACCCCGACACTCCGAAACCCCTCAACCCCTAAACCTCAAGCTTAAAACCTCGGAATCAAAACTTGAAGACTGTTTTGATGAAGACGTCCGGTCACCGTTCATTCGGCATATGGCTGAACTTGTATGGGATGGGTTTGGGGTTTAGGGTTTAAGGTTTAGGTTTAGGGGTTAGGGTTTTTTAGGGTTTTGGTGTGTCGGTACAGTTAGAAGACCTACATGGGTCTTGTGCAGCATGTAGTTCGTGATTGGAGGCTGTGCACGCAAGCAGCAGTGGAATCACTCCAATGGCAGGCTGGCAGAGCTGCAATGGTTAATTGTTTTGTCGTGGAGTCGATTCGCAACACAGTTTTCCACAGCATTCGATTCGGTTTGTAAGGGTTTTTGAAGCATTCCATGTGTCTGCACCACTTTTATATGATTGGTTTTGTGTGACAGCATGGGCGCGAATGGGGCTAATATCACCGAACAGGCTTTCACTTCACTGTACAGTACATCTTTTACTAATGTGATGATCTTATTGCCCAGTTCCATACTAAACTCGGCGTCCCTATGCTTTTGAGACGGCTGAACTATTGCAACGACCCTACACCTTAAATCTTCGAGTTTCACCTCTGAAGAGTTTCGGTGTACATATGAAAGCTTTAAATCCTACACCCTCAACCCTTCACCCCTAAACTTTTTAGACACCCGAAACTTTACAGTCTGAAGCATAAACCTTTAACCCGATCCTCTTGGAGGCTTCGCTGTGGCTCTGCCTTTGCTGGTGAGGCGAAGGCTTGAGTGTTGGATCTTCGGAGTGTAGTATACTGGGTTCTTTTTCAGGAGTTTAATTCAATTTATACAATAATAGGCATCTAGAGTACATAAGACATACTAGGCTTTACTTATCATAGTAGCTTTCACTAATTTCTTCAACAAGAACCCAATATCTTGGTCTTGGTAGTTCATAACAGTACCCCTCTTTTAGTTCTCGTATATACTGCAAAATCCTATTCTGGATAGGAAGACCCTTTTGTAACTTAGTGCTCTGATGAAGGTATAGTCTACCCGACCAAAGTACAATTACCCTTATTATTCTTATCCTTCTGAGCATGATTAGTATTATTAGAAACCCTAAACCATAAACCCTAAGTATCTGGAGGTTGTTGTTGTGCCTTCGACTCCAATCAGTGAGACGAGCCTAGGCCTGAACACGAACGCCTGGGTTTTGGATTTAGGGTTTAGGGTTGAGGGTTGAGGGTGCCTCAAAGGGATTAGTAGGCTTCGGGTTTCAGTTTTTGAAAGGGTTTCGGGTTTAGTACGTAGGGTTTAGGGTTTACGCTTGGAGGATCGTGCGATGCAGTATGTAAGGTTGTAAGTACTTGAGTTGATTATGTGTTCATTTTAAAGAGCTAAAAGTACCTAAACCCTAAACTCTAGACCGTACCTTATAGCCCAGTTACTAAGCCCCGCATTCAGACGAGATGGTGTTTGCGAAGATGCAGGGTGTACCATTTTTGGGTTCGTTCAACCGTGTTAACATCCTCTTTGCACAACTACAAAATGAAAGTAGTAATATCGTTTGGTGCTGGTACAAGTATACCTGACGCCAAAACTCTATTCTCATTCTTCAGGCTCCTAAGGTATGAATAGGAAACAGAACCTATGTAAGACCCTGGAAAACACCTTATATAATTCCTATGCCAGGTGTAGGACATTTTTCCGGTTCCTTTTAGGTTTCTATCAGGTAAGGATTTAGGGTTTAAGGGTTGCCAGGATTGTGTGGGGCTAATTTTGGTATTGAGATGGTAAGGAGTAAGGCGCTAAGACTCGGAGCCTTTTCCCAAGCACATTAGCACCGCATGCCAGGTCGCAGCGATTGAAGTCCGGATTGCATTGGAGGCTATGCTTCCAGTTCGCATCTGAGAGCGACAGTTTGAAAGCCGCAATGGCCCAGTAGGCGTAGTGCAGAATCTCCAGCCATCCGCCTCGTCGTCGTCATCATCGTCATCCGCAGCAGATAGTTATCATGGCGAGGACAAAATGCAGTAGCCCTGCTTTCGTGGACATGAGCACGCTCAGAAGCACCAGCTTGGTATCTATCGTCATCGTTATCGTCGTCATCATCGTCATCATCATTATCGTCATCGGCACCACCATCATCATCATCATTATCATCATCGGCACCATCGTCATCATCATCAGCACCACCATCATCATCATCATCATCACCATCATCATCACCAAAAGCATCACCACCATCATCATCATCAGCATCCTCCTCATCATCATCATCATCAGCATCAGCATCAGCATCATCATCATCATGATCATCACCAGCATCATCATCATCATCATCATCGACTGTTCCATCACACCATCATCATCATCAGCATCAGAATCATTCTCAGCATCAGCATAAAGATGGCTATCAGTATCAGCATTCTGCTCAGAGATGACATCAGCTTAAGACTCCCTCTAGCTTGATTCGTGAACTTCCTCTGCAAATGAAGTTTAATATCTTTGATGCCCGAGGGAATCCTGATATGAGGGGCTTCGGCGAAGCAGCGTCGGACTTCAGAGTGCAGTGCGTGAGAGTTCAGCGTTTCAATGGCAGAGCTGGCAGGAACTTAGTTAGCCAATGGGAGAACTTTAAACTTTTTGGACTCATATATCACGTCTGTTTTAAAAAGTTTGAACTTGTTTGGGCCTGGTTGTTGAAGAAGAGACGGAAAGAGGTCCTTGGCATTGAAACATCTGGCGCCCCTGGTTGCAAGGGTGTTCATTTCTAGTTTTTCAGTTTGTGTTCAGCGGCCAGCGGCCTGTCCTGTAAGTTTCAAGTCCTAATCCACAGATGCGGAAAGCTTCCTGCACCGTAAACCCTAAACAGTCGGTGTGGGCAGGTCCCGCCACCGACTGTTAGTTGCCAGCAAGCTCGAGGTGTACAGTGCTGAAGAGGCTGGGCCTTAGCCCCAGTTAAGATACGTACCCTAAACCCTAAACCCTAAACCCTAAACCCTAAACCCTAAACCCTAAACCCTGGCACCTCACTTATTAAGGCTCCGGGTCCTCCAAGTACCGGTTTTGGGGTTCTCTATTCAAGTAGATTTGGTGTACAGGCCTAGTTTGAACCCTAAACCCTAAACCCTAAACCCTAAACCCTAAACCCTAAACCCTAAACAGTTTTTTCCCATGGACTGAGGCTTTAGGCCCCTCAATCTTGCAGCCTTGGACCAGCAACGAACAATTGCAGACCCTCAGCGGTTTCGAGGTTAGGGTGTAGGGTAGTGTAGGGTTTAGCCAACCCTTCATTCAACCTGAAACCATGGATCCGTAGTCTGAAACAAGTCTGATTTTGCTGCGCAACCATGAAGGGCCACATAATTCCTGCAAATGTGGCATTTACAACATCACTCAAGTTGTATGCTGCCACATACGAACTTGCACATACGCGTCATACAACCCCTTCGGGGTTCTGTAAACACCAATGTCCAATCCCAAACCCCAACTCCAAAGCTACCGAAACCGCCGTTGCAAAATGCATAAATCCTGTTCAGAACCCTTGTTAAGTCCTCATCAAAATCCTATGCAAACCCGCTATGATGGATCCGCTCAAGGAACTGAAAAAAGCGAAAACCTTTTAGAGCGCGTTTGTACAAAGTCTTACCATTCTTTCTTGGAAACTCCGAAAATCGAACAAGAATCGTTATTCAAAAATTGTTATTGCGCTAAACCCGTATAAACCCTAAACCCCTAAACCCTAAACCCTAAACCCTAAAAGGTAAACTCCAAAACTCTAGACCCCAGACCCTAACCCAAAACCTAACCCAAAACCCTAACACAAACCCCTATAAGCCTAAATCCTAAGAACTCTTAGAGAACCCCTATACTTCCTAAGGAGCCCTTATACAGCCGAACTCTTATGGAACCCCCAGTTTTTCTTCCGGCCCTGAACCCTAAACCCTAAACCCTTAAATTCTAAACCCTAAACCCTAAACCCCAAACCCTACACCTTAAACCCTAAACCCTAAACCCTAAACCCCAAACCCTACACCCAGGGTGCGAAGTCCACTTTTAAAAAAACCTACACCTTAAACTCTAAACCCTACACCTTAAAACCAAAACCCTAAGCCCTAAACCCTAAAATCCTAAACCCCAAAACCCAAAACCCTAAACCCTAAAACCCTAAACCCTAGAGATCCCTTTAAAGGATCCCTTTAAAGGACCCCTAAAACCCTAGCCAGGTCGAGGCTGCCGCCTTGGCGAAGCCGTTGGCAGTGCTGGGTCGGGCGGCTGAGGACCGCGGTTCAGGGTCCTTTAAAGGGGTCCTTTAAGGGATCTGTAGGGTTTAGGGTTTTAGGGCTTTAGAGTTTTAGGGGTTTTACGGTTTAGGGGTTTTAAGGTTTAGGGGTTTTAAGGTTTAGGGGTTTTAAGGTTTAGGGGTGTTAAGGTTTAGGAATTTTAGGGGTTGTAAGGTTTAGGGGTTTTAAGGCTTAGGGGTTTTGGGGTCAAGGGTTTAGGGGTTGTAGGGTCTAGGGGTTTGCGGTTAAGCGTTTTAGGGTTTAGGGCTTTAGGGTTTAGGGTTTGGGGCTAAGGGTTCACGGTTTAGGGTACTGGGTCCTTGCTGGATGCAAGTTTAAATTTCTGTTATAATGGAACCCAAGAAGGATTAAGAATGATCACTTCTATTATAGCCCCAACAGGGGACCAGTTTAGGCGGTTTTAGGGTTGCACGCTTAAGGGTTTAGGGTTTGGGGTTTAAGGGTTTCCGGGTTAAGGCTTTAGGGTTTAAGGGTTTAGGGTTTATAGGGTTCCAGGGTTCAGGCTTTAGGGTTTAAGGTTCACATGGAGTTTGAGGTACCTACATTCAGCATTTTTGTAGTTCCTTATTATGTGCGATTTCTTAATGTAGGTCCTCAGCAAAGTAGGTTTTTGGGGGTTAAGGTAGCGTCTAGTAGTTGATTTTAAGGACTGGGGTTCAGGGTTCCTTTAAAGGGATCTATAAGGGTTCCGCTGGGATCCGATAAGGGCTTCTTTTAAGTGTTCAGGGTTTAGGGTGTTGGGCTTAGCGCTTCGGGCTTAGGATTAGGGTCTTGGTTTGGGGCTAATCTTGGGGTTAGGGTTTGGGCTTGTTGAATTCAGGATGTATGGCTAGGGTTTCGGGTTCAGGGTTTCAAACTTACGGTTCAGGGTTTGTAATTCAGGATTGCGGGTTAAGGAGGGTTTAGGGCTTAGTTTAGGGTTTTAGTGTTACGGTTCAGGGTTTTAGGGTTTAGGGCCAGTAAGGAGAGAGTGGGACGAGAATCGGGTCTGCATGTCATCTTCAGGGTCTTATTTGGTTTTACAGTGTCTGAGTGTGATCTATAGCCTTGTACAGGCACTTTCGGGATTGTATAGGATGCTATAGGATTTGTTTACAGCATCGTTTGCTTTTTGGAAAAGCAGGGTTCTGAGAGGGTGTGTAGGGTGTTTAGTTCTAAGGCTGCCTCGGAGCTTTATAGTTCGTTTGGGGGAACTTTCTATTCGGTTTTATACGGGGCTGAAAGCTTCTATGAGGGTTCTGTTTCGGATTTCTTAAAGGGTTCTGTAGGGGCTTCGGGATTCACAGGCTTTAGGTGGGTTCAGGGTTTGGGGTTTTAGGTTTTCGGTGTTCGCTGAAGCCTCGAGGTCACCTTTTATCTTTCAGTAAGGGTTGAGGGTTTAGGGGTTTCAGTGTTGAGTTTAGGGATACTTGTGCGGGTTCGATGAGGTTTTGTAAGGGTTCCTTAAGGGGTTCCATGCTTGGGAGGTTCACGGGACTTAGTAAGTACAGTTCAAGATACCTTAGTTGAAGTGCAAAGTAATGAGAGAGTTACTAAGTCCCATGATTAAGTAGGCGCTGTAGAATTTCAGGGTTTAGGGTCACAAGGCGCATTGATTCAGGGCCTGGGGTTTAAGGTTGAGGGTTAGGAGCTAAGGGCCAGGAGCGGGTTCCCGAGAGGAGGGGCCTTTGTGCTCAAGATATTTAGGGTTTAGTCCGTAGCCAAAAGGACCGACGGGTTTTGGAGTCTGTCTTGCGGCTTCAGAGGTCGATAAACAAGGTGGCCACCACCTCTACGACGATGACGACGACTACTTTTACAAATTCCCACTGCTACTGCTGAGAGTTTTGATGATGTTAGTAGCTTGCTAGTGTGGTGGTAAGTGTTGGCGGCCGTTGTCCAAGTAGCAGTGGTAATACTAAAGAATGCATTGCCCATGTGGCACAACTCACAACACGAAACCCGAAACCCTTAGCCCCAAAGCCCGAAACCCTCAACAGTAAGACAGTTGCCCCTGTTCGCAGACGAAACCCTAAAGGTTCAGGCTGCAGGGCTCCGGCCTACAAAACATAGGCTCCCGACACTCCAAAACTCCAAAACCCCAAACCCCTAAGCCCCCACCCCGAACCGCAAGTCCCGAACCCAGGGTTTAGGGTATAGGGTTTAGGTGAACCTAAAGAGCCCTCGACCCTAAACCCTTCAACCCTATATATAGATCCTTGATAGCGCCCTCAAGGGAACCCTCTAAGGAAACCTTGAAATAAACTTTCTAAGGAACCCAAAGCCCCAGCCCTTGCCCCACAGGTTGTCTTCCGTGTCGGCCGCTTTTTCTTGAACTTGAAGCTTCTTGGCAGACATGTTTGGTACAGGGTTTAGGGTTTTGGTGTAAATCCTAAACCCTAAACCGAGGGTTCATGGGTTAAGGTTTAGGGTTCAGGCTTTGGGGTTTGGGATTCTGGGGCTTGGAAAATCTTGATTTCGAGGGCCTTCATATGCAGAACACGGTTTCGGCGGATATCGGAGTGTAGTTCCCCCACGGGGAGCTGCTCCGTGGTCTTTGCAAGGATACTATTTTGGGGGGTTTGTGTGCTGGTGTGGGAAGGGTTGTTTTAATTTTCGGATTTGGGTGGATCAAGAGGTGTTTGTTTTTTTTATTTTTATGTTATTGGTTTAGGGGCAGAGGGTCAGGGTCAGGGTTGAACTTGACAATATTGCCGTTATACTTAAACCTGCAAAAACCATACCCCAAAACCCTTCAACCTTAAACCTTACACCCCAACCCTAAACCCTAAAACCCTAAACACTAAACCCTGATAACCCTAAACCATAAAATAAAAACCTCTCAAACCTGACCCGGACTCGTACCAGTCCGGGCAGCCTTTCGACGGGCGTCGCGGATCCTGCGAGCTTTTTCCGGAGACTGGGACTCTAAGGTAGCACCCTAAAGGAAGGCACACTGTTTGCCAGATCTGCTTGTGTATAAATACATATACAAAGTTTATTTCGCGTAAATATTCTGTATATACTACTACTACTACTACTACTACTACTACTACTACTACTACCAACGGCAGATCCAAAAGAGCCTTGCAAGTCAGGCTCGACGAGCTTCAGGGCAACACAGACTCGCAGTACGTGAAGCTCAGGCCGAGGGCTTAGGGTTTTACCTGAAACCCAAACAACCTATTCTATTAAGTCATAATAACAAGCAACCTACTTTATTACGGAGTTATATAAAGAAGTCATAATAAGGAACCTTGTTTGTGGCTCAGCAAGGGATCTAGAGGGATCTGTAAGGCATTCGCACTTGGTTTATAGGGCTGTGTATTGGCTTTAGACGCTTTGGTAAGGATTTTTAGATGGTTTTCGTGGTTTCTGTTCGAACTGTACAGGGGCTTTTCAATAAGCCTTCTAGGGGAAGATGGTTAGTCTGGCCCGTGTGCAGTTTGCAAAAGTAGATACATGGAGACTTGCTCTTTCGGACATCCCGAAAGGTAGCCCACTTCGCTCACAGAACTTCGTGCCTTTGGCTTCAAGGTCCCAGACCTCCAAGATGATCCCTTGATTTGGGCCTAAACCCTAAACCCTAAACCCTTAAACCCTAAACCCTAAACCACCTAAACCCTTAACCCTTAAGGGATCCTGCCGGGGGTCTGGGCTTTCCTAACTCCCTTTGCAGACACCCTTGAGGAGACGGACTGCGGCTCTCGGGGGGCTGTGGTTTAGGGTGGCGCCCGAGTGCACGGTGCAGTTGCAGGAGATCTGTGGAGTTCCAAACTTTCCAGGACTTCGGTTTGCTAACTGACACCGAGCTGGCGCTACTTCTCGGAAGCTTGCCGGAGACGAAGAAGAAGAAACATATCACAGTTCCCTGGCAAGGCCCCGAATCCTTCTCTCACTAGAACTTGATAGACTTTGCGGAGCTGTGCTGTGAAAGCTCTGTTGGATTGCGAGAAGTTCGCATGTACTACGAGAGCAACGGATCTTTTCTGGGCTCAGACTGCCCAGAACATCCCAGAACTGTTTGCCTCTTAGTCTTGGCATCGCCATAATGTGTTTCGTGTCTCTGCCCTTATGCTCCACTATCGCCCGAATCAATCGGGCTCCCTGCTCAGTTTCGCATGATGTGGTTGCTAGTCATGATGGAGATGATGAGGACGCAGATGATGCTTCAGAACGCCGAAAGGAACCCAGAAGGCAACGCTTGCGGGAACCCTTACAAAAACCCGAAAAGGAGCACCCAAAATCTCCCGGAACCCTCAAGCACTTGAGAATCCCGGTAAAGCCCTGCAAACCCGTTTGCGACCCTGTAGAAATCCTGCAAAGCTCTGAAAAGGCCTAGACAACCGTCTTGAATCTGTAGAATGCCTTTTAAACTTAAGGGTTCACGGGGCTTAGTATAGTACACTTACTTATATCTGTACTGACACAGTCCCATGAACCTCCAAGTAGTTGAAAAACTGCCCTGAACCTATCGAAGCCCTTCTGCAGACCCTATCGAACCCTCTAGATCCTCTAGAAGGCCGATAGGACCGTCTGTTGAAGGAGCCCCCAAACTTCGAGACTCAATCCTAAACCCTTAAACCCTAAACTAAAAAAACCCTTGAACCCTAAACCCCCTGAACCCTAAACCCTTGAACCCTACACCTCCTGAACCCTAAACCCTTGAACCCTAAACCTCCTGAACCCCAAACCCTTGACCCCTAAACCCTGAACCCTAAACCCTAAACCGCCTAAACCCAAACCCTTAAACCCTAAATCCTAAACCCTAAACCTTGGCCCAGCTTGAGCCGTAGCCATTTTGGCTCAAGCTGTTGGCCCAAGCGGTACTTTGTTCTTTTGCCCCTCCTCCCTTCCGATTCTAACGGATCTGCCATTGCGGCCAGAACGACGAGCCCTTCTACCTCTCCGTGCCTCTTCATTGGCGGCGCTAAGGGTGTTTAT